ATATTTTCTTTCTATGTTTTTAAATTTAAGTTTTATTGTTTTGTATGTAAATATGTGGACCCAGGAACTGTTATTAATGAGCAAAAAGTTACTGTTCAGGGCAGTGATTCTGTTTAATAATCAGACAAAATGTAGACGAGCTTTTTAAAGCCATATAGTTTTAACTCTGTACAGTAGGTACCGGCCTGTATTATTGTAACAATAACTCTAGCAATGTATAGTGTATCTATATAGTTTGGAGTGCCTTCGCTTCCATGTGTGTGTTTTTTTTAATTTGTTCTTTTTAAAATTTTAATTGGTTTCCTTTCTCCATGTTTCCCTGTCCGCCCCATTTCCCTTTGAAATAAAAACTCTCATAACTATCTTCGCCCCTTCCAAAGTTAAGTTTCAGTAATACCATACTCAGGAGTGGGAAGAGGAAACCATATTCATTGTCTCATTTTGTTCAAGCCCTGCCTTTGTTTTGTTTCTGACGTCTGTTTCCTCCTCAGTAGCAGTGACTGGTTTCATTTCATACTTAGTCCATTCAGGGACTTTGTGTAGCGCCAGGGAGCCCTAGAGCTGGAGGATATCGAATAGATTAGATTTTGCTCTTCTCTTCCACAAGCCCTAACCATGGGTCCTAAAAACAGCAGATTTTAGGAGCCTTCCATGCTCTCTCCTCTTTTATCTACTTCCTTCCCAAATGAGAGAGTGAGAGAGAATTGGCTTTTATAAATAGAAGTTTCTTAATAGTATCAGGTTTTGATACATCAGTGGTCTAAATGCTATAGTGCATTTAGTAGCAGTTAACTGCATGGCATGCCACCGTGCCAGTAGAGGACTGTTGTTTTAACAAGGGAACTCCTAGCCCGTTTCCTCCCTCCCACCATCTCTACTCTTGTTTAATGAAATGTCATTTTCTTTTTTAAAAAATCAGTTTAATTCTTACTGTGTGCCCAACACGAAGGCCTTCTTTGAAAGAAAAATGAGTGTTTTGCCTCAAAGTACCCCATGTAAGAGGTATTGAATAGAAGAAAAAACTTTACCAAACCAAAGGTTACTATTTTTGAAACATCGTGTGTTCATTCCAGCAAGGCAGAAGACTGCACCTTCTTTCCAATGACATGCTGTCATTTTTTAAAAGTCCTTAATTTTTAGACACATATTTTTGGTTTATGTTTTAACAAAGTATGCCTAACCAGTCATCTTGTCTGCACCAATGCAAAGGTTTCTGAGAGGACTATTATATTCTCTATCCCTGTGGATATAAAGACACTGGCATTTCATCTGTTTTTCCCTTTCCTTTTTAAAGGATTTAACTTTGGAATCCTCCAAAGGAAGTTTGGCCAATGCCAGATCCCCAGGAGTTTGCGGGGGTGGGGTGGGAGTGGTTGTGTTCAATCAGAATTGTATCTAATTCCTACTGTTCATGTTAGTGACCATCTAATCACAGAGCCAAACACTTTTCTCCCCTATATAGAAAAGTATGCTTTACAATAAAATCTGTCTTTTCTGGTAGAAACCTGAGCCACTGAAAACAAGAGAACTAGAAGCACAGTAGAGTCCCAGACTGAGATCTACCTTTGAGAGGCTTTGAAAGTAATCCCTGGGGTTTGGATTATTTTCACAACGTTTATGCCGTTTTATTCAAGTTTGTTGCTCTGTTTTGCACCTCTGCAATAAAAACAAAATGACAACCAGTACATAAGGGGTTACCTTGACAAAGTGGACTTCCTTGTGTTAATTTTTAAGTTTTTTTTTCCTTGCTATATCTGTCTACAGGCAGATACAGATAGATGTATGAAATCTGCTTGCCTGTAAAATTTGCATTTATAAATGTGTTGCCGATGGATCACTTGGGCCTGTACACATACCAATTAGCGTGACCACTTCCATCTTAAAAACAAACCTAAAAAACAAAATTTATTATATATATATATATATATATAAAGGACTGTGGGTTGTATACAAACTATTGCAAACACTTGTGCAAATCTGTCTTGATATAAAGGAAAAGCAAAATCTGTATAACATTATTACTACTTGAATGCCTCTGTGACTGATTTTTTTTTTTTTTTCATTTTAAATATAAACTTTTTTGTGAAAAGTATGCTCAATGTTTTTTTTCCCTTTCCCCATTCCCTTGTAAATACATTTTGTTCTATGTGACTTGGTTTGGAAATAGTTAACTGGTACTGTAATTTGCATTAAATAAAAAGTAGGTTAGCCTGGAAATGAAATTAAAATTCACAAGTGTGTGGTCTTTATTTCAGTACCCAATTCTCTTTCTTCACCCTACCTATTTTGCCACTGCAATATGTAGTCACATCACCATTTCCGTTCCTCTAACTAGGGAAACATTAATCTTTGTTATAAAAAGATATGAATACCACTTCTTGTTCTTTCCAATGATTTTATTCCATTGTGTAGCCCCAAAAGGTGCAGCCTCCATCTTGGAAACCTTTGGATTCGATGTAGAGGAAGCTTTTCAGACACTGCTTAGAAAAGAAAGAAAACAACTCTGAAAGGGACAAATTTTAAATGTGTATAAGCTGCTGTCTTTGATTACTGTGTTCATGATTTGGTGTGGCCGTATTTTCTTTTAACTTTCATCCTATTAATAATGGTCTTTGGGGGTCTCTGTAAAATATATGGACACCACGAACAGTGGGGCTGTACCTCCCAGGTAACCAACATATGTTGTGTTTGAGTCTGCTCATTTCCAATACTGGATGATGTATGTAAACATGTCTCTTAGTGCAAAATGAAACATCATTTTTTTTAGGGCTGGCTTACTCTGTCAGGCCTAATCTAAAGGCTAGATTTAAGGTCATGTGACTGCTGCTTCAATAAAAACAAATTTATATTCGATAATGATGTGGTTCTCTTATTTACTGTGGTGGTGGGGTTGGCTAATTCCACTAACATTTGTAAAACAGTTAAACACATTTATGAGTAGGGGCAGCAGGGAGGATTGGATTAGCCAAAACAGATGTTACTTGTGAAATGGGCCTCCTGCTGGCACTGAAGTGCATTTATTTAGGATTTACTGCTATCTTGTGTAGGTTCTGGGATTGAGTTAAACATTGTGTTAAGTGTCCTGCAAGATCCTTTTAAAATCCGGAATGACTGCCCTTTTTGTTTCTAAGTCTTTCCAAAAAGACTAGACAGTCCTTCGGGATCATATTAGCAGTGATGGTGGATGTCTTTTTGTTGTTTTGTTTTTATTCACTTGTTTTGTTTTTCAGACAGTCTTGCTCACTGCAACCTCTACCTCCCGGGTTCAAGTGATTCTCCTGTCTCAGCCTCCCTAGTAGCTGAGACTACAGGCACGCATCACCACACTGAGTTAATTTTTGCGATTTTAGTAGAGACAGGATTTCACCATGTTGGCCAGGCTGGTCTCCAACTCCTGACCTCAAGTGATCTGCCCACTTCAGTCTCCCAGAGTGCTGGGATTACAGGCATGAGCCACTGTGCCCAGCCAGTGGATGTCATTTTGAAATGTGTTCTCTAGGAAGGTAGTGAGGAAAGGAGAGATCAGGTTTTAGATCCATGTCACTGAGAAGTTCGTGAAAGAAAGTGAACAAAAGTGTTGGGGTGGTCACTCATTTCTCAAGTGTAGGAATATTTCACTCATCAGCACCATCAGATTTAGGAGAGCTGAAGCATATAAAGGGAAAGGTACCAGGAAAAAACAAGCTGCCATGGAAGATGACATAATGAGGCCCACAAGTTAGGAGTCAGGAATGAGGAAGGAGTGGATAATCATATGTATGTTTCTCTTCACATCCTCTTTCTCCAGAAGGGAGTGGCCACTCTGGCCCTTCCCACAGATTTGTTGTCGATGTCAAGACTTAATTAGACAAAGTTCTGGGCCAGGTAGAGAGAGGCTGTTGAGTGGCCCTTACTAATGAGGGGGCAGATGGTATGCAGTAGCTTGCTTAGGTCTTTTGCCCTAAGCTTTGGAGACTGACTCCATCCTCTCATCACCGAGCCAGAAAAAGTCATCACAGGATGCCTAGAAACTGATGCTTAGTTCTGCTTACTCAAAAGTTCAGGGACAGGAGTAAAGAAGGCACGGAAATGTTGGAGTAGGAAAGTTAAAATCTGGCTCCCAGTCCCATAAACTTGTGATCCACAAAGCTACTGAAAGGAAGTACCCTATGTGAGCTCTTTGGTGCATCTAACATTGACTCTTTACTCTTGAAATACACTTAGTTTTTATAACCTATAAGTATTAAATTTATCTATAAATTACATGTACATATCAATTCAGTGTTTGGGGAACTGCCCTAGAGTTTTTAAATCAATACTGGAGTTGGAAATTTGCCCTCTATTCCATCCTAACTTCACCTTACCCTCTCCTACAGCTAGCAACAGTTTCAGACTCTTGAACAAATAGCACTCAAATCATTTCAATAGGGAAGGGGAGATGCATATGATTTATGAATAGAGTGGAATAAAATCTATGTTTCCAAATTAGAAATTTGTATTTCTAATTATAAATGGGTTCATAATTAAGCAAAATTCCTGGGAGCAAAGACTGTATTCATTGAGTTTGGAAAGAGAAGCTCTTTTTTTCCCTCAGTATCTTTTCAAAAAATAAGTGCTCCCTATATCTATTTAATGCAGAAAAGTCCAGTAAATTCAGAGGGATGACAGAATACGTTTACTTGTTTTGATCTATATTACTGATGATTTACCATGTTCTCAAAGTTTGGCCTCCTTCTTGTAAAATGGCAAAAGCTAAGTAATCATCTGTTCTTTAAAATTCAGTGACCGTGAAGTTTCATTTGAATGAAATATTAAACATTTAAAATTAATTCTGTTCCTACATTTTTAATTATCATATGCACATGTTAAACTTGTATACAAAACAATCATTTTATGAGTGAGCCAAGTTAAATAATTCATGTTTATGTTCTTAACTCAGGGTCTTTAGATTTATAAAGGACAATAATAAAATAAGTAGTAAAAATACATATGCACATATGTATTTATTTCCATTTCCCCACCCCTACATTATTTTCCCCAGAAAAGAAGGCCAAAAAAGTTTACCTCTCTAGCCAAAAGTTCATTATTTAATTTCTCTTAACTTAATTTGACATTAAACCCAGGACCACGTTTGCCAAAACTAGTTCTTAGGTGTGGAATGCCTTATATAAAGTATAATTGGTGAAAATGCAAAAAAAAAAAAAAAAAAAAAAGAAATTTACTCACAAGTGGCTATAAATAAGGCAGGCATTTTCATACCCTTTAGCTTTAGCTTGGAGAATAGATGTGTACATAGAAATATAAGGTGCATGCAAATTCTTCTTCTCAGGTATGTTTGACTGTCAGTGTAGCCTTGTCACAGAGCATACCCAGCCAGCATTTCAGCCCCAGGAACAAACCCAGGCCCCGTCAGATGGGGAACAGACCTACCTACACCAAATCACACATCCACACCCACAGCCAAAGTTTGTGCCCTTATTCCCACAAACTCATGTCCTTAGGAGCCTTACTTGGGTCCCCAATATCTGTCATCACAGCTCAGCATCCACAAGGAAATTCCTTGTGCTGCTTTTGTTATTTATCATTTTTCCTTTTGATCCAAGTTATTTGTGTTTCTGTTTTTCTTTTTTTTTTAACTATAAACTCTGTGAGCTCAGGGTCTATATCTGAGTCAACATTGTATACCCCACAGCAGGCTACCTATTGTTGGTGCTTAATAATGTGTTCAAATGGATGCAGAGATACAGAATGATGTGGCCAGAATGAGGTCATGACAAGCTTTTGGCATTTGGTGCAGGTCTTCTGGCTTCTATTCTTTCTAGAGGACTCCCACAGATACTCATGCACCTGCCAATGAGCACAGGCCTGGAGCCCGCCAAGCAGCTCGGAAGAGGAAGCTGGGATTGGGAATGAGAGGGAAGTGGGACACAGGATGATTAGAGGTAGCAATCAAAAGACTCAAGAAGCGAACAAACGTGGGTATGTGGTCATAGACCCCAGATGGCCCAGCCCTGGCTGCCCCTTCCACACCTTGACACTTTAGTGGGATCGGAGGGATTTCTCCCCAACCACAGGGCCTTTTAGAAGGAAAGGGCAGCCTTGCCTCTCTGACGGTCGTGACCTACAAGCCAGTGCACTCTCTACATAAGGGCCTATGGCCTCACTCCCTACAGACTGAACTAGGGGTCGGGGGGTTATCCATGTCCTTTCTGAGGAATGATAGCCAGCTGTCATAGCAGGAGTTCCCTGGGGAGGCAGGCTCAGCAGGGCATTGTCAGCTCTCAGCAGTGTCCATCTGTCTTGGCCCAGGAGTGGCAGCTCAGAGGGCCCTGGGTCTGGCTGCCCCTCAGAGGTGATACCCAAGGGCAGCCGCTCAGCTGTCTGTGATGCTGAACAACTCCTGCATGAGGGGCGTAGCAAAGGGGTGTATGTCCTGGATGCGCAGCAGCCGCTGGGTGTGCTGGGCATTGATACTGCGGAGCTCAGTGAGCATGGCCATGATCTTCAGGAACAGGAACCTGCGTGCCAGCCGGAGAAAAGGTTGGCGGTGCAGCCCACTCTTTCCCTGACCCACAAGCCTCAGGGCTGCTCTGAAGCTGCACAAACATAATCTCTGGACATTTAAGGTCAGCCAAGAGACAAGGCCTTGCTGAATTACATAAGCTTCTCTTTCAGCCTGTGGATGAGAAAGGCAGAACAGCCTTCCCGGTACTGTCCCCACTCCCACCCCATCCATGGGAGTTGTGTCTTTTATTTTTTTCTTTAAAGAGACAGGATCTTGTTCTGTCACCCAGGCTAGAGTATAGTGGCATGATCATGGCTCACTACAGTGTCGAACTCCTGGACTCAAGAGACCTCCAGCTTCAGCCTCCTGGGTAGCTAGGACTAGAGCACATGCCACCATGCTAATTGTTTTAAATTGTTCTAGAGTTGGGGTCTGGCTATGTTACCCAGGCTGGTCTTGAACTCCTGACCCCAAGCAATCCTCCTGTCTTGACCTCCCAAAGTGCTGAGATTATAGATGTGAGCCACAACACCCAGCTGCAGCAGTTGTGTCTTTGTACACAGAGACCTCCATGGGAAAATCCAGATATTGCAGCTACCAGTGTGGCGGTTTGGGGATGTCACTGCCTTCATTAACGTCCAGAGGCCAGGACTGAGCAGAGTCATCGTGGAGATTAGGGATTGCAGGCTAGAATCCCTTTCTGAAACTTGCTTTGAAGCTAGTGTCTGAGATGTACCATACGCCTCAGCTTTCCCATGATGGAAAAGAAAGCTGGCACTTTCAGCCTCCTGCCTCTATGCAAAGAAGTGTTGAGCAAATAAAGACATGGCCACTCCCAGCATCCCAGGACACCACACCAGAAAGAAAGCTGTGCAGGCCAAATAAGGATTTCAGTTTATAAGTTCACACTGTAATACTCAGTGTTGCCCTTAACCCTTCATGGCCTTGGGCTCAGTACAATCCAAGTTTGTCTCTGGGCCTGTGGGCGTCAGTCTGGGCACTAGGTGACAGGAGCTACTGAGGATCAGGGAAGGTGTGGAAGCCCCTCTCTGGACCATGTCCCCTTGTTTGCTTGTGTTTTTTCCTGGGAAGTGGTTAGGTAGTGCTCAAAAGTGTGAGCTTTGGACCTGGTCTGGCTGGGTCCACCTTCAGATGCCACCCTCTGGTTGTGAAGCCTTGAGCAATGTCCCTGAACCTCGGCTCCCTCACACCACCCTCACGGGTCCCTGCCTCCTGCTGTGCTCACCTATGGGCAGGCTGGGGCCGATTGCATTCAATGTAGGCCTTCAGGGTAATGGCAAATTGCTCCTGCAGCTGGTCCACCACACGGTGCTGCACCACACCTGGGCGGTCTGGAGGGGAGGGGAGGGGAGGGAGATGTGGTGCAAAGACGAGCTCACTCCAGCCCAGAGTCGGGCATTGCTCACCAACCACCTTCCAGAGCTGGAGTCCCCCAGGCAGGAAAGTGAGGGAAGACCAGGGCTCGGCATCACCCGCTGACCCCAGGAGAAAACAGCAAGAGCCCCCATCCCGGCTGCGCAGTGAGTAAGAAGCAAGGTCATGGACTGGGACCTTCCCTGTGGAGGGCAGATGAGGCTGGGGGGATGTCAGCCACCCTGGGGGAAGCCTTCACCTGGGGAGAAGAGAGAGATGGCCTGCATCAGCACATACTCCTCCTCATGCAGCTGCAGCTTCTTTAGCATGTAGTGGAATTTCAGCATGGGCTCCAGTAGAAGTTGCTGGAAGCCACCTGTGGGTGGTAACAGGGTGGAGGGCAGCTTCACAGCAAGCTGACCAAGAGTCAGTTATCCCCCACCAAGCTCTTATTTTCTACCACTCCATCTTCCTGCCCTGCCATCCCAGAACCTGCATATCCTGGTGCAGCTCTCTTTCTCCCACAACGGCGGTGTTTCCCTCCCTCTGCTAGGGCAGGCAGGCTCTGCAGGCACCTGCAGTGTCTTCCAAGCAGTAGGACAGCCGGCCACACTCCCAGGTCCCAGTCTCCGCGTTGAACACCGTGTTGAATCTCAGTTGGCACAGCTCAAAAGTGGCCCCCTTCAGCAGGGAGATCTGGTCCTCAATGGGCAAGTCCCTGGCAGCAAGGATGGGGAGGGGAGGACAGCTTCCTGGGAGGCAGCCCACAGGCCAGCGCCAGCAGCTGTCCCAGAATCCAGCAGTTGGGGGTGAGAGGAAGAGGGAGGATGCTCCTTTCCCTGAGGATGACTGTGGCTGTTGTCTCATCCCTCCCCTCACAACCCAGCAGCAGACAGCTCTGCCCCCACGTATCCTCTCCTCCCCTGCTACCTCAGCGGACTCCACCTCCCACTGAGCTTGGCATCTAGGTCCCTTACAGCCCGGCCCCACCTCCTTCAACTCCTACACAACCCCTGACCTACTTTGCTTTGGCTTCTGGTCCCTGGACTTTTCCTTTCTGCCTCAGTTTCCCCCCCTTGGAATGACTGCCCCTTTAGTAAATCCTGCTAGCCCCTCAGGCCAAGCTGTCTTCGCCCCTCCTAGAAGTCTTTCCAGAGTGCAGTCTCCCCCTCTGGACTGAGCTCCAGCAGTGGGGATGTTTGCTTCCTTTTGTCCATGTTGGGTTTAATATGCACACTTATTTCTACTGTTTCCTGTAGCCCAGATGCCTGCAGCCCCACTCCTAGTGCCAGAGGTGACTCCTAGCCATGGAGGTGACTTAATAGGCCTCTAAGACTATGGTTACATGGATACCCCTCTGGTCCTGCAGGGACCACTTTCTCCCAAGCTGGGAGGGGCCCCCACCTCCCCTTACAAGAAGGAGGCTTGGCAGCCCAAGAGGGAGGCTGCTGATGCTAGGTTTTGAGGAAACATTACTCTGGCCTTGGCCTCCTTGGGAACTCAGGCCCTGGGCTCCTGGTGCCCATCCTTCTTTTAGATCCATAACACCGAGCTACAAATGCCAGGTAATTGATCTTATTCTTCTCTGCCTCCCTGTTGCCTGGCTTAGGCCGTGGCATCAAGCTGGCTTTGGTACTTTCAAATCTGCCCTCCACCATGGATTAGCTGTGACTTTGTACAAGTTCCTTATCCTTGGGGAACCTGTTTCTATCTGAGAATGAAGATGTCAGTGACACCTTAGGTCACTGTGCTCAACACTGGTGGCCATGAGAAATGGTAAGTGGGGAGCCCTGGTGTTAAATTGTCAGTCATTGGATTTCACCAAGGATCTTCCAATGTCCACATTTATAAGTAGGCTTCTCTTTCTGCCCCACTTAAGCTAATTTTCCACCATCTGAACCCCATTCCAAACCTGCTGCTGGCATCACCCCATTAAATAAGTCATGCATGACTCCTACAGGGCCGGAGAAGAACCTCTGGGCTCCTAGACTACAACCTACCCTCAACCTGCTGCAGAAACCAGGAGCTCCTGGCAGGTGTTTCAGCCTGGCTTGACCAGGTTTGGCAAGGCAAGGCGGCCTACCCAAGAACAGATACACCTGGCACCATTCCTAACACTAACAGCATGCAGACATATTCTGGAGCTGTGGTTCCCTCCACCCCAGGAAGTTCCCATTAACTCGCATTAACCCCAGCTGCCCTGTGGTTGTTGCCTCCACATTTAGCTCCGGTGAGACCTGATCTTTGGGCTCTGAGGACCACCCACACTCTCCATGGCCTTCACAGCCTTGTCTTGTCTATTTCTCTCATTCTTTGCTCTAAAACTCCCAACATGTGGTTCCTGAAACTTTTAGAGAGAGTAGGAAAGGGAATGATCATCTGAATGCCCACTGTGTGCTGGATGCTCTTCAGATGTGTTCTCATTCCACAGAACGGCCTGGCAGGGGAGGCATTGTTAGCTTCCATCAAGCAGGTGAAGAGGTAGAGATGCTGGCAGGCCCACAGCCACTAAGCTAACCAGCCATGTAGCGAGGGCTCTACTCCCCAGCAGCACTGGCTGCCCCGGGGGGCAGAACACAGGAAAAGGAAGGTCTTCTGCCACCGATATCCCCCAAATTCAGGCATCTACCCCAGGCCCTTTGAACCTCCTGGCCACTTCCAGTTCCTTTCCACATCCAACCACCCAGCCTCCATGTCCTACCTGAAGTAGGAGATGACTTTGGCAAAATTGATGATGCCTTTGATCATGTAGGTTGACATGTCAGCCATGTGGGGCAGCATGGAAAAGATCTCTTTCCCGCCATTGTCCACTGGGGGTTTGTAGTTCCAGACACTGCCATCCTCCCCCCGCAGCTGCAGAGAGACCTTCAGAGAGCACAGATCTTTCCTGACCTGGCTCCACTTGGCAGCTTCTTCCCTTGATGGGGCCTGTAGAGACTCTGGCATCTCACAGCCACTGCTAAGCACCCCTGGCAACTAGGACACATGCCAGGAGTCAGAGGAGAGACAGCATGTGTTTTCACACATGCTCAGATCCCAGTCAAACATACATAGCCTCAGTTGCAGCCTGAAAGGATGCACAAATGCAGGCATTCATACTCACAGGCACACATGTGTCCCCACACATACACACACACATTTGTTTCTTCTCTCCGGGTTCTCCTATCAGATGAAGGTGCTTTGGGGGTCTATGAATTAATGGTCACACATATCCCTACTGGGTCAAAATGGAGGATAAGGGGCCTCCAACCATGGTGTGTCCCAAGCATTCCAGATATTGGGCTCAGGAGACTCAGAAAGTTTAGGGCAGTACGGATGGGAAGAGCAGATCTAAGGTCACTGAGCTAATCCAGTTCTTTGGGCTGGGAAGGGCCACTTGAGATAGCTATCAGTCCAAAGGAGAAGGAGGGCGCTTGGAGCATAGATATGGTTAATGTGCTGGGATCAAGAGATACCAATTCATGAAAGTCACACCCCCATCAGTTCCTGACCCTGTCCTCATAAAGCCCTGAATGCCAGCAACGCTGGGGAACCGCCTAGCTTTCCCTCCACGTATTGCTCAGATCCAGTTCCTACCTGCTTTAAAGAAGAGAGCAGTGATTTTTAAACCTGAACCTCCAACGGAATCACCCAGGGGTCCTGCCCCTCCCTGGAGCTTCTGATTCTGGAGGTCTGGGGTGACCCGCAAATCCATATGCTGATACTGCTCACCCAGGGACCACACTAGAACTCTGGTAATGAGACTGAGGCTTTGAAGAGCTAGCACAGATGCAGGGACAGCTCCCCAGCCTCCTACCCGGAAATTCTTGAAATGGGAGAAGGTAGTGTCAAAGGTTTTCATCTGAGCATCCATCAGCTCCCTGATCATCATCCGCTGCACTTCCGTCAGCCCCTGTGTTTCCGGTGGCTGGGTCCCGATTCGTTCTCTTTTATTCCTCTTGATCAAGGCCCGCCTCTCCTCCACAGCCACGTCAGACATGATCACTGCAGGGACAGTGAGGCTGGCTCAGGCACACGTGCCCCTGGTCATCCTCCAGCCCCCTGGGAAGCCCCTACATAACTCTTTCAAGGCAGCAGAAGGCATTGGGCAAAAGGGAAAATGATGGTGACAAGCAATTCTCCCCCTTCCAGACTTGAGAGGCCTATGGGCTCCTCTAGAGAAATACCTGGGTGAGGACAGAACTGGGGTGCAGCTGCTGTGTTGCTCTCTGCAGTGGGGTTTGTGAGGACATTGTGGGTCCCTGGTAAGAGCGTGGGCTTCAGAATCTGAAGGCGCTGGGTTTGCATGAAAGCTTTGCCACTTTCTACCTGTGACCCCAGGCAACCTCCTTAACTTCTCCTGCCTTCAGGTTTCTCCTTTGTAATCTGGAGGAACCGTGTTTACCTCGTACCACTGTTAAATGAGACCTTGGATGTAGAGTGTCCAGTATAATTCCTGGTACATAAGAGATATCCAATAAATGGCATCTTCTGTTATCATTTTCTGGTGTATTATATACCAAGACTTTCAGAGGTGTCTGGGTCTCCAAGACTCCAGGGAGCTGGGCTACAGCTTGGCAAGAAATAGCAACTCTAGACACCTCCTATATACCCGGAGCCTTAGGGTCTTCTGTGGATTTCTGGAGCCCACTGTATGTGTAGAGCAAAGCGATGAGGTCCTTGGTGGGGAGAGATGGAGGACACCGGCCAGCAGCCTAGAGAACTTGTTCTTGAAAGAAGCAGCTTTGGGTCCCTTTGTGCTCCATGGAGACAAATACGCACTAGAAGCGTCTAGCCTTTTCCCCATAAGCCTTAATCTCAGTGACCTGGGAGCACGGATGTATCAAAGTTAAAACAGGTAGAATGAGGATGCCTCATGTCATCATGTCTGCAAACAGTTCCCCTATAAAGATCCAGGTCTGGGGCAGCTGGTGGGGCTAGTAGCTAGAAGGCTGGGTGTTCTATTACTAGTGTGGCTCCTTCTTCCCTCTCCCAGATTCACACCCCTATCCCCAAATGTGGTTTTAAACCATCAGAGCAACTATGAGGGGGACGAAAAGAATCATGCAGGAGCAGCTGAGGGGAGACAGAGAGCACACCCTGGCCAGAGCTGCCCAGCACATCTCCTGGGGCAGAGATTACTAGACTCCCTCCGTCTCCACCCGGCAGGCTGGAAGCGCTCCCCCAGGTGGCTGCCTGTTGCGCCCCGACATCAGCTCACAAGCGCACGTGCGCTCACGCGCACACTCGGCTCCCATCTCCACTCACGCAGCACACACCCACGGCACGTCCCTACACGGGGCCGTGCGCCCCAGCCCCGGCCCGCCCGCGCGCCCGCTGCTCACTCTCCTTCTTCATGCCGCTCTCCAGGCACTTGCGCAGGCGGCAGGCCTGACACTGTCGCCGGGTCTTCCGGGTGATCTCGCAGGCGCCTTTCCGGAAGGGGCACCTCAGCCGGGCGTTGCGTTTCATGGCCCTCCTGTGAGAGAACGGGGAGCAGAAGGGAATCTGCACCCGTGCCCGGGCCCTTGGTCTGGGGCTCCTGGCCACACCACCTCCCTCCCTACCGACTCGGGGAGGGGGACACCAACCTTTGCGTCCCAGCTGGGTCAGGTTTTATGGGAAGGGTGTAGATGAGCGTCCCTAGAGGTCCAGGACTCTAGAGGGGGCAGAGCCGGGGAGGAGATCTTTTCTGGCCATTACCGCGGGAAATGGAACGCGTGCTTTTCACGGGCGCCTGCAGCTCCTGGGCCACTTTCTGGGACATTTCAGCTCCAGGCCCATCCCCAGCGCCTTCCCCTCTTCCTGAAACCCCGTCCTCTCCTCTTTCACACCCTTGTTACCAGAAGGTTTCCATGGAGATGGGCCTCTTCCTCGATTTACCCTCTTTAAAAGAGCGAGCTGAGGAAACCTGACCCCAGGAGAGTAAGAACCCAGAGAAGCCCCCGCCTTTCCTTGCTCCGCTTCTTCTTGACTGGGTAGCCAGGGAGGAAGGGGTGAACTTTGGGGAAGCTTTTCTACCCCGCGGGACAGCGGCTTCCCCATGGCAGAGTGGATTCCCCTCGTTGATCTAAGGGGCAAAGAGGTCCAGCGCCTGGAAGAGCAGAGTGTGCAGGCGGGACCCACCTGCCGGCAGAGGCAGCGCGCAGAGAGGCAATGGAGCAGACGCCTTTTGGAGATGCTGGTGCAACATTTCCTCCTCCCAGCCCAGAAGTCCTGCACAAAAGACCCAGTTGGTGCAGCCCTTCCTTTTTTTCCCCCCCATTTCCACAGCTGGATGGAAAGACACAAATTATCCCTTGGCTCTCGCTCTGGTCCAAAGTGGAAACTGAGGAAGGCTGCCCAGGAGCAAAGAACAGCCAGGTAGGGCTGCAGAGGTCCCTGAGGGCAGGCCTGGAAGGCTGAGCCAAGCCCGCAATGACGCAGGGTTGAGCTTGGAGGCCTCGGGCCTCGGACCAGTGACCAGCTGAGGGGCATGTTCTTCACAGAAGAACATCTCTGTGGCCTGGGGAAGAAAGCCCTGATGCTTGCTACATCAAAGTCCACCCAGAGTGAGTAAAAGATGAAACCGGGGCACACATTGATTAAAGGTGTGCTATGTATCAGATACTAGGCTAGGTATTTTGCAGTTTTGCAAATTTAGATCTCAAACCTTGTGAAATTCATAATCTCATCTGCCTGGCACAGATGAGGGAGACTGAGGCATGGAGACAATCCCCAGCTGTCCTCTGGGTACATGACAAGCTGAAATTTGAATCCAGGTCTGCCTGATACTGGATTTAGCTCTTGCCCACTAAAACATGTTGCCTCTTTCTGGGAGTCCCCAAAATAGTACCCAAACAAGGAAGGGGGAGCAGAAGATTCCCACACACCGAGGCAGGATGCATGGACATTGCATGGGCAGCCTCTTCTGCGCCAGCAGTATCTGGAGCTGGTGCAGACATCCACCCTCTTCCACGCAGCCGTGTGGCATGTGCCCAGCTGAGGGACGTATCTGGTGCTCTTTGCTAGTGACTAGTTCAGGCCATAGGCTGGGCCAAGCTCTAGCCAATGTGAGGGGCCTCCTGGGAAAGGTTTGTTTACTCTCAAAGATGGGTCTTTGTTTGCCTCTGCTGAACCTCATGATTCCTGCCTAGGGCCCAGGCACCCACAAGGGGAGCCCGATTGCAATCAGAGCTCTCAGGTGGGATGGCTGAAGAGAAAAAGGGAAAGTATCTGAGCTGCTGAACTCACCAACCTGGAGGCCTTCAGACTTCCTGTTAAGAGAGGTAATGCATTTTCCTTATTGCCGAACCAAATTGCAATGAGTGTCCTGTGACTTGTAGCTGAACCCAGCCTCACACTGCTGATGTGTCTCACCCCTGTTATAACTCATGCAATACAAATGTTCATTTCTCTCAGGAACTTGCCCATTTCCATTCAAATAAATGCCCAGCCTCCAGGAAGAATTCTGCCAAGGGCCAAGTCAGGCTAGCTGTCTTGGGAATGCATGAGGGTCCTGCATGTGGCCCCTGAGGTGGAAGCTGCTCCTTGCATACCCTATCCCCTCTGGAGGGTACACTGGAAGTGCTTCCTCACACATGGAAGGTATAATTTGCAAAACGGCAAAATATCTCACACATTTCTTCTCTTCTCTCCCTCCCTTCCCCTCAGTCTGCTTCTTTTGCCATGGTCTCAGCCCTGTCCCAAGGGTAGCCTTGCTGAACTGGCTTCGCTCTGTTTCTTCAGCTGGACAACATGAGCTCTTCTGTCCAGGCCTGTCTTGCTATGAGCTGGGACATTTTAGACCCTGTTTTTGGTCCTCCCTGTTAGTCTGTTTCTAGGTGACCTTGTTTTGTTATATTTTTCATTTATTTTATGCCATTCTTTACATAACAACCACCCCAGAAGGCAGATATGAACACTTAGATTTGGGATTTTCAAATTCCTTATCTTTTATTGAGTCATCTCTTTTATTTGAGAGCACATGGAGAAGCCCAGGGATATCTTAATGGAAGGAGACCTTTCCTGGGTAGTACAGGAAGACTGAAGATGAAGGATTCCTCTAGGATATAAATGGCTCCCTTGAGACTCTTACAAGTCCTTTGGGAGGGCCACTAGCCCACACTTTGAACCTCGGGGGGATAGGTCAAGCTGAGGCCCTGAGATGTTACCCAGTGGGTTAGTGGCAGACCCCAGTTAGATGTGACCCAGCATGTCAGTGGTGGCAGATGGGTGAAGGCTGATGGGTAACTTACCTGAAAAAGCCCTTGCATCCTTCACATGTCATGACATTGAAGTGATAACCAGTGGCCTTGTCCCCACATACACGGCAGATTTGGGGACCCCCAACTTCCTCATCTGCCTTGACAGTGGGCTTTCCGGGAACAGACTCTGTGTCCCTCCAGCATACAAAGTCAGCATGGTTCCAGCTTTCTTTGGGTCTCACCTCCAGGTTTGCTTCTGGGCCTCTTGGACTAGAAGTGAGAAAACCACAGAGTGAAAAGGCTGGATAGGGATTTGTGGAGGCCTCAAAGGAAATACTCTCTCCCTTACATGCATCACTCACATTTGGGCATGTGGACTCAGGAGCTGACCTTTCATGGGGTAAAAAAAAAAAAGGGTGGGGGGGAGTTGGAGCTGGAATTGTTATAAAGAGAGCTGTAATCATGATGTTTTATACACAAAAATAGAGCCCTGGAGTAGAACATATGAATAAGAACATGGGAGAGAGAAGGGTAAGAGGGGAGGAGGAGATGAGAAGAAAAGAGAGCAGGCTGTCTGGGTCGGATTACAGAGGCCACGCCTGAGTGGATTGAGGTTAGGAGGCCACGAGTTGGCCAGAGGTCTGAATGGTGACCAGCTCATGGGACAGATTACTGGTTCACGATGATTTCTGGGATTGGGGACATTAAGGGAGGATAGTCCTTCAGGTGGGGTGTGGTCCAAGCTCCCAGAGAGAGCTGGAAAGGCTGGGCAGAAAGAGAGTTTTCAACTAAGTAGCCAAGCAGATGGGGAGAAAGTGGAGGTGGGGTGGGCAAGATCACAACACAGGAAGAAAAATGGCCAATGGTCCCAGCAGAGCTGGAGTCTAAGTGGATATTGAAGAACTGCTGCCTATTAATAGAGCTGCGGCTAAGCATGGTGGCTGATGTCTGTGATCCTAGGGCTTTGCAAGGCTGAGGCAAGAGGAGCGCTTGAGCCCAGGGGTTTGAGACCAGCCTGGGCAACAAAGTGAGATCTTTTCTCTACAGCAATTAAAAAAACTAGCCGAGATAAATGGTGTGAGCCTATAGTCCCAGCTACTTGGGAAGCTGAGGTGGGAGGATCGCTTGAGCCTGAGGGTTTGAGGCTGCAGTGAGCGAGGATCATGCTGGTGTGCTCTAGCCTGGGTGACAAAGTGGGACCTCATCTCTAAAAGAAAGAAAAAAAGAAAAACATCAAGCTGTAGTCAAGGATGTCCTCCCCCAATGACTTGTACGTTGAGAGCATAACTTGAATTCTTCTTGGATGCTCAGTAGAAGTGGGGGACTGTCCTGTTTACTACTGTACCCCAAAGTCTCTTTAGGTACTGATTGCCAAGGGCAGCAACCACCACAGATGATGATGTTTTTTCTAAAGCCAAAATCAGAATTTCAGTAGAATTCTAACATATAAATTTCTAACATCATTACAGGTGATATCTGACAGTTTCATCTGTAAGAGTAACTAAGGAATTAATCTGTCTCTGACCCTGACCCTCCATTACACTATGAATACAATACATTGACTGGAAACATGAACTGAACAGGCATAGGGGGAAAATCTCCCCTGATTTTTCAAATCATAATCCTGACTTTATGTAGGCTTGCAGGGACTTGTATCCAGACTATATGAACACTTACAACTCAATAATAGAAATACAAATAACCCAATTTTAAAATGAGCAAAAGATTAAAATAGATATTTCACCAAAGAACCTATGAATGACCAATAACGTGAAAATGTTCTTAAAAATATTGGTTATTGGCCGGGCATGGTGGCTCACGCCTGTAATCACAGCACTTCTTTGGGAGGCCAAAGTGGGTAGATCACAAGGTCAGGAGATCAAGACCGTCCTGGCCAACATGGTAAAACTCTGTCTCTACTAAAATACAAAAAAACTAACTGGCCTTGGTAGCACGTGCCTGTAATCCCAGCTACTCGGGAGGCTGAGGCAGGAGAATTGCTTGAACCTGGGAGGCAGAGGTTGCAGTGAGCCAAGATCATGCCACTGTACTCCAGCCTGGCAACAGAGCAAGACTCTGTCTCTCTCTCTCTCTCTCTCTCTCTCTCTCTCTCTCTAGGTTATTAGAGAAAGGCAAATTGAAACCACAAAGAAATAACTTCTACAATACACAAGAATGGCTACAAATAAAAAAGACGTAAGAATCAGTAATAATGTGTAGATACAGCTCTTATGCACTGCTAGCAGGAATGTAAAATGGTACAGCCACTTAAGAAAACAATCGTTCAATTACCTAAAATGTTAAACATACATTCACCATAACTCAGCAATTCTAATTCTGCATATCCACCCAAGAGAAATGAAAACATATGCCCCTACACAAATACTGTACAGAAATGTTCATGGTAGCATTATTCACAATAGCCCAAAACCTGACCCAAATATCCATCAACTGGTCCATGGATAAATAAAATATGGAATACACTTGGAATACTAACATATAATGAAATACTAACATACCATGAAATTCTATTCAGCAGTTTAAAAGAATGAAGGATACATGCTACAGCACAGATGATTATTAAGTACTCAGTGGATGTTTTAACAACAGATTGAATCAGCAACAGACAGTGGTAGTGCATTCAAAATTAGGTCAACAGAGAATATATAAGCCAAAGCACAGAAACAAACAAAAAAAGAGGATTAAGAAAAGAACAGGGCATAAGAGACACACAAGACTTGGTGAAATAGTCTAATACGCTATAGACACAAGACTGGGACAGAAGAAATCTGGGAAAACACACTTGCCAAGAAGTTTTTGAAACTAATGAAAGAAGAATTAAAAACATACAGACCTACCCACACACCTACCCACACATTGTAAAATTGCTGGAAATCGATGACAAGAAAACTAATCTTACCAATACCC